GCGATGCGCGCGGGAAAAACCTTGGCCATCTCAGCCGCCGATACAAGGATGATAACATTTCCGATCGATTATATGTATATGTTATTTTCTTCTCGAAAAAGTTCGCGCTTGCGATTGTAAAACGTTGAATTATATTTTTATTGGCGTAAAATGTATATGAAAAAAAGGCGAATTATGTGTATAAACGAGAATCAATTTTAATGTGCCGCTCTTCTGTACATCGTGTATGCCATAATAGCCAAGTGTTTTGCTGCTGCTTCTTCTTCGTCTTCTTTCGTCTGATGCTTCTCTTCCTTCTTTTCTTCGACTAAACGTCTGATTCATATGCATGAGATCTTTACTACTCCTCGTCTTAATTATTGTGCGGATGAACAAATGTACGATACATAAAAGAACTTTTTGATCTCCCGCCATCGTTATGAAGTCTTTTGCCGTAGCGAAATATATCTAATGGCTGCTATGAAAATTACTGTAATGGCGATGATGCCTTTGCTCAAGTTAAATTAGATTTCGATATTTCGTTTCATTTCCGCTTTTAATTTTACGATATATAACCTGGCATGGCCTCTGGAAGGCGCTAACGTGGCTTTTTGTGTTCGCAACTACGGCACGTTGACCAAAAAATGTATTTCCTTTGACAATTATTTTAGTTCTTTCTTTTCTCCCTTGTTATTAATTGCATAAAGCTATGTAGACAATCAATTCTTTATAGAGCGTAGAATTACAAAAAAATATAACAAAAACGGTTAATTCGCATGACAGCTTCACTCAAAAGCTGGTGTTGGAGTGAAGGCTAAACCGGAAATGTTTTTAATCCGAAGCTTTTAAAGTATAAACCCCCTTTGTCCGAGATTAAGTACGAGAAAATAACGAGGATTTTCTCTCTCTTATCTTCAGCTTTTGGTGTGATATAATTAATTTATCTTTCTTCTTTTCGATGTTTTGTTTGTCTGGCTAAATGAAACTCACCAAATAGACTGCCTAAAACCAATACGTATCAGTTCCGATACTCCAAAGAATTCACGAAAATTGTTGCTTCGATTCTCATGGTCTGCGCGCGTGCGCTTATACAAATGCTGCACGCACCCGGGCCTACGCGTATAGGAACAATTTATCCGAGGCAAACAACGTATAAGTACACATTACGCGCGTTCGGTTCGTACCCAGCGATTTGGCAACGTCTGTAAGTGAGAGAAGAGGAGGAAGAGAGAGAGAGCAAGAGATTGGCGGCCCATCTATCATGACTCAACTGGCCAAGCCAATAAAACGACGCTCCAATTCATTAGTATTCTGCGCTCTAACGCTCGTGTGTATGCGCTGCTTCACTATAGTCTCTTTCTCCGAGCTCTTCGAAGGCATGCGTGCATTTAGTTGTTTCAGCCGCGTTGAATTTAGAACCGTGCACAGACGGACAGACACACATACACACAGCCGCGCGGCGGCCTACTGACGCTGCCGATGCTGCTGCAAACAAACGAAAATTTAAACGCTCGAAAGACCTGCGGTTGCCGCATACTGCCTCTCGCAGCGTAGCTAGCTAATATATGAAGATAAGTCACAAATCATAATATTTACGAGTTGCTCGGACGGCCGAGAGGCATTTATCACGCCGCTCGCGATCGAACGAATTTATTCCGACCGAGGCGCACTGTATTATACCAGAGGCGTATTATATCTACGAGCGCGACAAGTCGAGAAATTAGGAAAGATAACGAGCTACGATATTTCGTTCAATTAAGACGAGACAGAGAGAGAGAGAGAGAGAGAGAGAGAGAGAGCGAGAGCGAATCTTCGCAAAGAAAATCGACTCAAGCTCTCGAGTTGCGCCTCGGAGAAATTTTCGGGAAGTTTGCCAAAACGAGAGGGAGTGAGAGAAAGTGTCACGCGCGCGCGTGTAAATATAATTGTTATAGTGTTCCGCAACAAGCTCCGATGCGCGCTCCCCACGCCGACGCCGACGACGACGACGACGACGACGACGCTCGTGCGAGCGAGCGAGCTATAATACGAGCCCGCGCGCGCTGACAAATAGCAAATTTACTTATGCATATGAGCAATCCATTATACATGCAGTAACGAAGCTATGCACTTTCCAATTGAGAACAATCACGATTAATTATATGCGGCTGCAAATGTGTTGTCGTGCGCCGCTCGGCCCAAGCTAGCTCTCTGGCTATACACACATGAACGTATTGGCAATTATATAACGAGGGCAAAGTCATTTTTTCTCTCGAGCTTTTTTTTCTCATTCCTCGTGTATATACTTTGTACGTAAACGTCGCGCGGTGCATGCAAAATTTTGCCTGGCCTGTGCTGCTACTATATACCAGTTTATACCAGCAGTACTCATGGGCTCTTTACACGATCGGAGCTGTCCACGCGCAGCAGCAGCTGGCGTATATAATACCGTACACGTTTCTCTGGTCACGAGGAGAGAAATAAATAGCTCGTCGAATCGAATATCTCGACGCTAATTAAAATACCTCCGAACGCCGCGTACAATGGCTCTTTCTCTCTCTCCGTCTCTCTTTTACATAAAGGTCCACCCACTAAGAGGGCACATACACACACACACACACTCATATATAGCTCGCTCCGCGTGCACTGCACTGCAGCTCGCGCAGAACACAGCATGATTTATCGAGGTATAATGTTTTGTTTAGTCGGCGCGCGGGCTGTTCTCCGCGCGCGCACGATGATATCTGCCCGCGCAACTACTCGCGGCTTCGAGATCGAGATATATTACGTGCACTCCACAGATGTCTGTGCATGTGTTAGTGTGCGAGTGTATCTTCGCGTAAAGGGCCTCACCACACAAACGCACACACACACGTACCATACGTACTTGCGCGCGCAGTAGTTATTTATACACGTGCCTATGTAAAATTGTATCGTGCTACAATGTGCAACGCGAGGGAGTTTATTATTATTGGTCGTTTATGGTTAGTATATTGCGTGCGTGCGTGCGGGCATGCGCCTGCGCTCAATGGAGCGGAAAGGGATTTTTTTTATTCAACATTCGATCTGCGCGCATACCTAAGATAAGGACTCGCTGCTGCTGCCGCTGGATAACGAGAGATATGGTTACTTTAAGCTTTCTTTTTCTTCCTCTCTTGTTCGCTCTCTCTCTCTCTCTCGCTTATCGTTCCGAGCTTTGAAAAATTCTGCCTTTGCGAGCTCCGGGGAGCGACGACCATGATGATCTCTTCCCGGTGGTGGAAGGAAAGAAGAAGGAGGAGGAGTAGTAGATGGAGAGACGTTTTGTCTCGTAGGCACTTTTTCAAGATGAAACCAAGGCGATTTCGGCGAAACGACCCAAGCAATTCTTTTTATATGTCCGTGCAGCTTGATAACACGTATCGCCGACTGATTAATCTATTTTTGTCTCTCGTTTTGATTTTGTTGATTTAATTTTGTACCCACGCCTCGGTGCTCTTTGTTTTGCTTCTTTCTTTAAATGTCTCAAGAAACGATATGCTAGCGTCGCCGGGGCGCATCATCGATCGACCTCTTTTGCTACTTTTAACTTGAACACCTGCCACGATGGCCCGTGTGTTAGCTGGTAGCGCTCGCCATTTTATCGAAAAAGAAACTACACGCATCGTCGAATTTTATCGAAAGAGAACACTTAACTTTCTTTTACTTTTCCTCGGCGAACAACGGATAACTCGCTTTATTTTTGCACATCGACCATTCGCACCTTAACTTTTCCTTTACTCGAACCCCGAACATCGACTGCGCTCCTCGCCTCGTGGCTTCTCATCGGACTCTTCTTCTTTTCTATTACATCTATATACGCTTACGTATATAAACCTTTCGTTTTTCGAGCTTCTACATCGTTTCACAATGAAATACTCTCTATCCTTTACGATCACATTTTTCCAAGCATTTCCACCCATTAAATTCATCCCAACTAACGCTACTAACTTTGCTCATTATCGAATTTCAAGGGATGCGAGGATGGAAGTAACATATGGACGCCTTAATTTCATTTTGAAAATTTGTATTTTAACATTTTCATGAAAACTTTCATAATTAGCGACGATAAGAAATTATGCCATTGTGATAAATCAATAAAAGCTCTTTCAGTAATGCCTCTGAAACTCGCGTAATTAAACGTGTTTGAATCATATCCGTCTCATTCTCTCTTTCCAATAAACTGCGAACCATTCCCCCGCGGATATTTCCATTCATGCTGTCATTTTACGCGAATATGACCTTTCAGCGCTATTGATATAAAGCTCGATTGAAAACTACGACGCGCTGATGAAGGTTTTAATATATAAAAAAATACGACGTAATTGCAATAAAAAATGTCGTGCATTCGACGAGTACGCCATGAGTTTCAAAGTCACCTTGCAACAGCACTCGACACATCTGTAATTGTATATTTTACGGACTTTAAAGTCAATGAATTTTGAATAAATGGGCTTCTATCTAGAGGAGAAGCTTGCGATGCTTTTAGAGGCTAAAAAAGCAAAAGAAAACTTTATCGTGCGTAAACACTCGCGCGTTTTCCCATACCCTTCGGCTCGTGTACTTCGCTGCGCTTGGCTGAGTAAATCTTGGAATTATTTTACGTGGCGCAGCAGCAGTGTTGAGCAAAATCATCGAGCGTTATGAAAATTAGTGTACATGGCGAAAATATTGTTTTATATTTTGCATGCGCTGAAAACACGTAACAACAACAGCACCGCAAACACGAAGACGTTTAAGGAACAAATGAACAATATCGTTAACAAACTCATCTGCATACATTGTCTGCTGCTGAGTGTGCACTGCTGTGTGCGTCGGCAATCGCGTGTATTCGCGGCTAACACGTGCTCCGCGCGTATAATATATACACACACACGCAATGAATATTAAAGCAATGTTTACGCTCGCGAGCCGTGCAGCAGTCGTTGAACGTTTGACACGTCTCTAATGTATAAAAATTAAAAAAGAACAATGGGAAAATTTACGATTACTTATACTCATACTTTTGTTGTGTCTGTTTGCAGATCGAAAATCAGCGAGGAGGAGCAGTGGCGACGAGCGTCGTCGAACGAAACGATCAATAAAAACACTCGGCACTATATATCACGCAGCCTGGAAGGCGCAGCAGCAGCGCGGCAGCAAGTGTCGAAAAAGCAATAGCTGCTCGTAAAGCACACGCGCGAGCGCTCGCGAATCCTCGCGCCAAAGTGTCACGTGCAGCAGCAGTAGCAGCTTCTTCGCGGCTCTCTATCGTATTTCTTCCTCGATTTCTCCTATCTCTCTCTCTCTCTCTCTCGCTAATACGCATAGGCCATCTTGCGCGCGTCATCTCTCGATGTTTGTACATATTGTATGCCAGTCGATGGATCACGGGTACATCTGAGTGTGTCTGTGTCTTCGATTCCCCCATGTATACAAGCTCTAACGCGCTGACCATGTATACGTGTAAATGTGTATTATACTAAATGTATTAAGTGCTCCGGTCTATTATACGTGTGTATTTATCTTCGATATACATCGCATTGGGTGTATACGGCTACGGCGACGACGACGAGGCGAAGGAATATCATATATTTATACGACAGTGCGAAATTATGTGAGTGTGTGTGACTACGAAGACGACGACGACGACGACGACGGGGAATAATACACATCATCGTCTCAGTCGCAGTCATCGCGCGCGTCGACGAAGCTTCGGTAGTCAAGACGGCAGAGAACTCGACGCATTAAGAACTTACGTAATCCATTCATTCCCTTACTCGTTTGTTATTACTTACACGCTCGTTTAATATAAATCAGAAATACGCGACCGATTGCGTGCATAAAGACCGTTGTTGCTTTGTAGTGCTTCTTGTGGTGCTCCTGTGCTCATATGCGTTTGAAGTTCAACGTACACGAAAAATATCTCGGAGCGGGCTTGTGCGCGTAATCTGCAAGTACGCAGCGCTGAACAAGGAGAAAGAAGAGAGAAACAAAAGTTAGGGGAAAAAATGAAAATCAGCGTTTCGACGATGCTGGACTGCAAACGATCGAATTGCGGTCGTCGTATGCCGCTGCTGGTGCCGCTGCTGCTTTTGCTCTGCGTTATCGGTAAGTGTCGATGTTGTCATTTTTAAAAATACTTCTACGTTTAAACTCGCAGTCTGTGATCCCATTAATGAAAATCAGCGAGGCTACATTATTATTGTGCTGCATCGATTATTCCGCCCATTGTTGGAATTGCTCGAGAATCGGGTGTACACACATCGTCATCGCGTAAATAAAGTACGGTGAGGATAAAGACCTCTCGAGTAGCTGCTTGTGCTCCGTGATGTTAAACTGGTGCGTAAGAGCGTGCGTGCACGCAAATTAGTGCGTGCCATGGTAGTAGTTGGGCATTCTCTCGATTCTTGCGATACATAAAATTCGCGCTAAAACTTATCGGCCATATCCAGTTGCGATAATTTCCCCTCATAAGACGAGCTCTTTTTTGCGGCTACACGCACGATGGTATTTTTTTCAACTGCATCGCGCGTAAACAGATACAACGTGGTGGCCCCCTTTCTCACTTGATGCACGGGATGCAGTAATTGTTGTGGTTTTGCTTGTCGCGCTTTTGCGTTACGTATACGTGTTCACGATGTGTACGCGTTGGTACGCGCGCTCGTCTAGTGTAGGTATATACGTTCATGGCACCTGCATACAAAGGTGAATAGCCCAGTTTGTCGTCTGTCCCTCTTTCTCTCTCTCTCTCTTCCTGACGCATGTATATACATTTTGCGAGCGTGTGAGGCCGAGTATAATGTGCCTAATGGCCACACGCGCTGTAAAACTCGCTCGCAAACTTCCGCTCGCCGCAACAGCCGAAGTGAGCTGCTCCATGCATCTGTGCTGTAGTATGTGTTATTACGCACGCGCTCATGAAAAAAAAACCTGAAACAATTATACGAGAGCTAATATTACTTTTGAGCGTGAACCATTATCGAAGCGCCCATTACTTTTAAAAGTGCCCGACTAATAAATATGATTATTTCGAATTTACCGTTCACGACGACGAGTACGTTGCATAATAGGCGTGGTTCAGAAGCTGTAACGTACTTGTTATCGTGTACGCTGCGCCGAATGACATTTTTCAATTACGATACCGGGAATCCACTTCGCGTACCGTACGCGCTCGAGGGTCAAGACTGATTAATTATTACCGCGTTATACGTTTTTCAAAGCCCGAAAGTCATGCTTCGGAATCAAACGAGCGAAGGAAAAAAAACACTGATGCAGAAACATAAAGTCAGCAATCGTGCAACTTACGATACATTCGTATAACGCACACATATATTTTTCAGCTTGGACTCTTTGATTATTATTTCACATGATTTTTCTTTCATTTTATTATTAATTACATGCAAATATACGCTGTAATAGGCCACACCGAAGCTCATAACATGTTTATATCTCGCGACGATTTTCGGTGAAAAAGTATACATCAAAAAAACCCGCGTATAGTGATGTTACATGTGCAATATAAAGTTAAAATTAAATGTACAATTTTTTTAATGTAAACATAATACTTCGGGGAATAAGTTCAAATTTATCGTGACATTTCCATTTCGTTTACTATAATTTTGCGTAATTTATTGTGGTATTTATCAATGAAAGTAAGTTTTGTATTGCAAGTGCGCTTTTAGATGTTTTATAACCAGCTCGCTAGTCATTGTCTTGTGACTTTATGCCTGTCCATTAATCCAGTCGGCTCGAAACATATATCAAGGATAATTTTGGGATTAAATAAGTCACATACTAGATTTTGTACCTACAGCTTGTGCACACGAGATTGCGATATATACGTTCACGCGCGCGTACATTAAACATCGGACTATAGATTGTGCATGTGCAAGTGTGCATTAGTCTGCGGAATACATAACAATTGACCGAGACGATCGCGCGTCGATACACATAATGCAACACAATACATCAATGCCCTCCCAATGAGCCAGCGTGTGGCTGCATGCGTTATTATTTTGCTTTTCTATACGCGGATACATGCGGCTACGTGCGAGCGAGCAAACGTGTGAGTGTTTACGTGAGTGCTCTGTCCATGTGTGTGCGTCGCAGGTGTGTCACACGACGTGTGTGCTGCAATCGCAATGCATATGACGAAAATCAACGCTCGAGCGCAATTACATCCTACACTCTAATGTCTGCGTGTGCTAGAACGAGATTTTTCATTATGCAGATTGGATCAATCAAATGTTGTTAGAGGCTCAAGTTCTCTTAAGACGAACTCTACAAACTTTGCGAATAAAAAATAGTTGGAAAAATAATTAATTACAATAGAAAATTGTTAAGATACTCCGTCAGACATTGTTTGCTATACGCGAATTAGTTATTGTTGCTGGAACTTAATGAAACGATCAAACGCGACTAAACTATCGATCGATTCCGTACATAACTTGCATAGGTCCGAAAGCTCACGTCGATGTAAATCAAACTCGGCCGAACCAAAAGTTTCTTTCTCCGTTTTCTCTCTCTCACCGTTACAGCAGCAGCAGCAGCTACAATACTGGACAACGTACTAGCACTCGAAATTACACGCATACCTTGATGCCTCGGCAAAGCCGAGCTTAACCCACATTGCAACTCAAGATCTCCTATAGAGTGTGCAGCGCGTAAGAGCGGATCGTGGTACAATACATACATAATATAATGCCGTTGTTATACTTCGGAAAGAGAATCGAATCAGCAGCAGCAGCAGCTACCGCCTGCATAGAGCTGCTAGTTAAATCTATTTGGAAGTTGCTGCTGTGCGTGTAGACGCGAGTGTTTACCGATGTAATATCTTGTCTAAGTTGATTGGTTATATATACCGCTGTTGCTGCTGCTGGCTCTGTGTTGCAGCGATAGCCATTGGCACATATCATAGATCGAATCGATTTATCTTTCCAATACAGGCCGGGGCGCGCGTGAAGGCGCGCATCAAGCAATGCTCCATATAGTTGTCGGGTGGGTAATAGCGGGTAACCGAAGAGATTACGACGCATCGACTTTGAATAAGGAATGCCTCGGCTCTTTCGGTCCCGGGCTGTGTGTGCTACGGCCCCCCGCCGCCTACTTCGCCGCCACCACCACCCCCCAGCTCTTTCTCCACCTTATATAGCATGGCAAATAGTTTGCCATATATGTGCTGCTGCGCTCGCCAGCTATATAACGTAAAAGCTGCCTTCGGTATACATATATATTCCCTGGGCGCAAACTTCGTCTTTGCACTTTGTGACCACGAACCGCACACGCTGGTAGGTACTGCTGCTGTGTGCAGTGACGACCGCCGCTCCGAACCCCTCGGCAGCTTCCCTCCTCCCCCACCGCACCTCCTCCTTCTACCTACCGTAACGTATTCTATATATATAAACATACACCGTCGTTGCCGTCACTTCATCTTTATCGGCTCTGTACGGACGGAACAAGTTTGCCTCGAGCAACTGGTTGCAGGGCTCGCACAAGCTACTCATTCGCTCTCAGCCTCTCTCTCTTTCTCTCTCGCTCTCGCCGTCCTTCGCATTAATTGCAATACGTTTCCGCGTGTACCTAAATATACCTGCGCGCTTATCATTACCAAACGACTTTGGCCAACTATACTTACATGTATGATCGAGTTCGAACTGGTGCTGAGCGCGATTACGCGTACGCGTAAAGTATGTTTCGTGACTCCCATATACGTGTATGTGCGCGACGATGAAAACTCAACTACCGATTCGAGAGCTGTGTAGTGCGCGTATGCGTGTGCGAACAGCGAGCAGCAGTGAGTCATGCGGAATTTCTAAGCGATGATTCAATTTGGCATCGATGTATACGCATTGTTTCGTCGTGTAAAAAAATTGTACCATCGCGCCGTGGAGTGTCGAGAGCTTTCGAGAGCACTCAAAATCAATCAAAGAAGTGCAAATTGACGTCGATTGTATTTGGAAACTTGACGTTTCATTGCGATGTTTACAGAAATGAATCATTGTAGTGGAAAAAAATGCTTTAAAATCAACCATTTTTACATAACTCTGATACGTACTTTTGTATTTATACTTTTTCACGCACGAAATCTAGACGATTTTTGTGGAAATTTCTATGCACTGTCAAGTTGTCATGTTTGAACAAAAACTAGGACATGCTGAATGACTTGTGTTCAGTAGAGTTGTAATTAATGCACGTAATATGCATCACACAGATAATATTTTTCATCCGACTATTTTTGTTTTTATGAAAAAAAAATTAATTTTAATTCAAAAACAGAAGCAGCGTTGTTGAAATTCATCAATGCATAATGCATATAGGAACCCTTATAGAAAATAATGTGTTATTCATACACGCATAATAATGAATTTTGCAATAACAAGAGTATTATTCGCGACTATTTTTCTCTCGGATCATTACATTAACCCAGCGCCACTTTGGAATTACACTACTTCGTAAGCCACTTCTAGGATTTTCCCTCCATTTACGCGACAAGAGAACTAGATGCAAGAGAAACGGCAACATCAGCGTAATCGAAATCTCATTATATTCGTCGCGTCCACCTTTTCGAGCATTAAGAGTGCGGGAATTCGATAAAGGACAAGAAAAGTTCACCGATCGATCCGCTAATTTATAATCTCATCAATGACGGTAGAGAGCCGCACGTTCTGCAGAGCTGTGGAATCTTATTTATCCTGCGTCAGCTAATCTTGCGGCATCGTCACGCAGCCGAGTTTCAACGTCGAATTAAGCCTGTCCTTTTTTTCTCATTCAAAGATATTTCGAGGGCAGTTTAATTTTTCCTTTATATACGTGCAAGTAGTCGACATCAATTTTTACGTCGTTTTTTAAATGCATACCTTGCGAAATTCTTACATCGAGGAACATCTCATTTTCAAATCTACAATGTATATATTCGCTAAAAAAGCTTGACTCGACGTTATTCCTTCGCCTATAGCTCTTTCCGCACTGTTTTAAAAAGTATCTCATTGTATTATTTCATTGGCTCATCTGTACGATATGTCTTGGGTAACGATGCACGCCCAATCTATGCAAATTCAGACGCGGTCGCGAAGACAGAAGCTATCGAAGCGTTGCGAGCACCAGCTGTA